GCTGATTTAAATCAGCTTAGCAGACCCATCTCAAGCATTGATACAAGCAACAATAACATCCCTCCCACCCAAGAAAAGCCCAGAACCAGATGGATTTACAGCCGAATTCTACAAGGCCTTCAAAGCAGAACTCACACCAATACTCCTCCAACTCTTCACTGAAATTGAAAGTGAAAGTTCATTACCACACTCTTTCTATGAAGCCATCATAATCTTCATCCCAAAACCAGTCAGAGACTCATCAAAGAAAGAGAACTATAGACATACTTCTTTGATGAACATCGATACAAAAACTTTTCAATAAAATTCTGGCCAATTGACTTAAACAACTCATAAAAAAAATCATACACTATGATCAAACAGGATTCATTTCAGGGATGCAAAGCTAGTTCAATATATGCAAGTCAATTAATATAATCTATCATATCAACAAGAACAAGGATAAGAACCACATGATTATGTCAATGGATGCAGCAAAAGCATTTGACAAGATCCAACACCCCTTTATGATGAAAGCTCTGGAAAAACTAGGAATCCATGGAACATTCCTCAATATAATAAAGGCTGTGTACGACACACCTACAGAGAGCATTATACTTAATGGCGAAAAGCTAAAGCCATTTTCTCTCAGTTTAGGAATGAGACAAGGATGTCCACTCTCTCCACTTCTCTTCAATTTAGTGTTAGAATGCCTATCTAGAGCAATAAGACAAGATGCAAACATAAAGGGGATCCAAATAGGGAAAGATAAAGTTAAATTCTCCCTCTTTGCAGCTGACATGATCTTGTATTTAAAGAACTCCATGGACTACACTTACTCAAGCTAATCTGAAACTTTGGCAAAGTAACAGGGTATAAAATAAACGCTCAGAAATCAATGGCTTTCCAGTATGCCAATAATGAGAAGAGTGCGGCTGAAATCAGGTAAACAACTTGTTTTGTAATAGCCCCACAAAAAATAAAATACCTAGGAGTTAACTAAACAAGTGAAGAAGGACCTCTATGATGAAAACTTTAAAAACCTGAAAAAGGAAATTAAAGCAGAACTAAGGAAGTGGAAAAACCTTCCATGCTCTTGGATTGGGAGGATTAACATCATGAAAATAGCAATATTGTCAAAGGCTATCTACAAATTCAATGCGATACCTATCTATATCTCAACCTCATTCTTCAATGAAATAAAAGAAGGAATCCAAAAATTCATATGGAACAATAGAAGACCCCGAATAGCAGAAACGATCCTTAGCAGAAAGAATGGTGCTGGAATAATATCAATACCAAATTTCAAACTCTACTACAAAGCCATAGTAATCAAAACAGCTTGGCACTGACACAAGAATAGACTTGAGTAGGGTACTGCATTGTTGGTGGGAGTGTAAACTTGTTCAACCACTTTGGAAAGTAGCATGGAAGTTTCTCAAAAGACTCCACACAGAGCTCCCCTATGACCCAGCAATCCCACTTTTGGGCATTTACCCAAATAATCACAAACAAGACCATACTAAAGCTACCAGCACAACTATGTTTATCGCAGCATTATTTTACCTTAACTAAGATCTGGAACCAACCCAGATGCCCCTCAGTAGATGAATGGATCAAGAAAATGTGGTGTATATACACAATGGAATTCTATGCCTCCATCAGAAAGAATGACATTACCCCATTTGTTAGGAAATGGAAAGACTTGGAAAAAATTATGTTAAGTGAAGTAAGCCAGGTCCAAAGAAACATAGGTCCCATGGTTTCCCTTATTTCCAATAACTAGTATATGTCTGAGACAAGCAGAAACAATCAGATAAGTTGATGTTAGGCAAAATGAACCCCAAGATAAGGACTCAAATGTTTTTTCTTTCTTCCTGTTGTCTTTAACATATTTATAAGATGATTTCTTTGTTGCTTTGTATGTCCCTCCCCCACAGTATAACCCCTGTTTTCACTGTATTTGATGTGGGTATAATTTGTGGAGGGGAAGGGAAGAAAACAATTGTTTATATAGGGATACAGGTGGACCCATTGTAACAATGAGATGTACAAGACGTTATGTCGAAAAACGAACTTTACAACTTTGATGAGAGGGGAGTAGAGGGGGGGGAGAGATGGGAAGGGATGGTAAGGAGAAACAAAGGATGAGGCAACAATGATTGATAAGAAATGTACTCATTACCTTGCTCATGTAATTGTAAACTCTCTGTACGTTATTTTCATAATAAAAAAGAAAAAGGAAAAGAATAGACCTGAGGACCAATAGAATAGAACTGAAGACCCAGAAATGAACTCACATACCTATAGCCACCTAATCTCAACAAGGGAGCTAAGGAAATAGAATGGAACACGGCCTCTTCAGTAAATGGTGATGGCAAAACTGGTTAATCACCTGTAGAAAACTAGAAAATCTAGATCCTTATATATCACCCAGCACCAGAATCTACTCCAAATGGATCAAAGACCTTGAAGTCAAAGCAGACACCTGAAAACATTATAGGATGGAATAAGCAGAACTCTAAGGCTCCTTGGAACAGGCTGAATTTTTCTTAATTAAAAACCCAGAAACACAAAAAATCAAAGAAAGGTTGGACAAATGGGACTGCATGATACTGCAGAACTTCTGCATGGCAAAGGACATAGCTAGCAAGATCAATAGAAAGCCCACAGGTTAGGAGAAGATCTAAACTAGCCATACAATGGACAAGGGCCTCATATCTAATTTCGAATTTTGGTATTCTCCATGTAATGCATTTTTCAATTCTCATTGCTGAGCCTATTTACTTGGCTGCTAGCTGAATTTTCCTCTATTTTCTATAGTTTAAATCTGCTTTTCACCCTCCTCCTCTTTTCAGAGATGGAGAATGACTAGCGATGTCTGACAAATTGAAGAGGCTAAAATAGGACTTTGTGGTCAGATCTGCACAGCCAAACTGAATTATCGAATTGAGACCAGTAATTGAACAAGACAGAGAAAGGAAGATACTTTTGTTTTATCTACCCAAATAATGACCTTAGTTCTTCACTTTTCTTTGCCTTTTAAAACTCAAGGAGTCAGATGAAAAGAAAATGTTTTAGTTACGTATAGTACCTTGCGTAGGCTCTCTAAAATCTTAGCCCTTTGTTTGAGTTGTTGATTGATGGATATATTTGTATTTTTATACTAAGGAGTAAGGAACAAACTAGAGTAACAATAAATATATAAAGATAAACAATTATATTAAGCACAATCTGAAAGGGGACTTCTATTGAAATCTCATTCGTCTTTAAGTACATTGTAGATTCTGTTTATGAATAGCTGAATGTTCATTTATATTTGAACTAAAGATATTCTTTCAATACTGACTCTATGGTTCCTGCTTAATTCATATTTCTGAAAATATCAGCAAAACTGATCTAGGATTTATCACTTGCTTTATTATGTCTCTATAAATCAATACATGTCTTAGAATTAAGGGCACGCACACACACACACACACACACACACACACACACACACACACACACACACACACAGAGCCTACTTTTCTACTTCCAGTGGTCATTTTAACAATAAGAGGTTGTATTCATCAGATGGATAAGATGGAATACCAGTTTAGTTGATTTCTACTGTTCTTGTCCCTCTTTGGGTAAAATGAAGAAATGAGAAAACATAAAAATGCATGAAGGTATTATTTGTGCTTATTTTCTAGGCTGTCTAGGACATGAGAATTCTGCAATAGGAGCAATAGGTACTCTTCCTACTACTAGTGATTTTATAGACTACCTGACTTCAGATGACATTTTACAAGGGGGACATGAGAATTACTGATTGTTCAAGTGATTGTATAATTTTAAGAATATAAATGGTCATATCTTAGATGATAAATAATGAAACCAACTATGCAGACTAAAATGTTGTTCTAGTAGTGGGGAAGAGGTTAGTAGAAATGTAGGTAAATAAAAGCATCTTATAATTCCAATACTATTGGCACCAAGATCTTTTGTGCTCCACAATATTACTTATCCAATTATATTTTGGGCTTAAGTAACAGAGTTAAGTTAATGATCTGATAGCATATGAATCTTACTAGGGCATAGAAACAGAATGATTTTGGTTAAATATATGATAAATAAAAAATATTATATTTAGGAATATTTAGAGCACATTTTAAAATAAAGAGGCAGCAAAATTCTCTTTGAATGCACTTGCATGACTACTGATCAGAATGACTTTGGACAGTCTTCCAATTTTTATATGCAGCCCCACCAGAACAAGTTTCATTTAATAATATAAATTGAGAAAATCCAGGACATTAAAAAAAAAAGTAAACAGAATAAGTGTATCTGAAAGTGAAAAGAAAGCTATCAGAGGAAAGGAAAGACTCCCCACTGGAAAAGAGGCTTCAAAGAGGAGTCTGATGGAGTCCTGTTGGAAGCTGGTTGTTAGAGTGTGCGGATGCTCTCACAGCTTAAGATCCAGAACTCTTTAAAACTCATAAAGAATGCTTCTATCATAGAAAAGACAAATTTCCACATCTCAAAGTCATCATGATCTGGATAACTTTCCTTTTTTGCCCCTAACTAGCCACTGGAGAAAGTGAGTGTCTCATTCACTTACTGTGAAAGCTTTTAGATCTTTTACTTAAATCACTCACAAGGAAAGCACGGAAGTTCATGTTCTTTTAAGAGTTGCCAATTCTGCTAAGGAAGATTAAATGTCCATTTCCCATGTGTCATATCCTGCAGCTAACAAGAAAGAGAATAAATGTAGCATGGGCTCCATCTAGGCCGCTACCGTGGGGAGGCCATCAACCAGCCCTGGGGCCTTTCATTTGCATGTACTGTGCCAGCCAAGACAGTCATTCAGACATGAGTCAGACTGTGAAGAGCCATCATGCTGCACCTTGGAATATATTTATTTAACAGTTCGAGCCCCTTTCTGTGACTAAGAAACAAGGATTTCCTCTGGGGGCAGAGGGCTTTTTTGGTTCCTGTTTGATTGCACCAGAGAAGATGATTAAAGCCTCACCACCTACCTGTGAAGTTGATTTTCAACAAGTAATCCTTGTACAGCTTCTTCCCGTCCAGGATCTTCATGGCATCACAGAGCTTGGTGGTGTTGGGGCAGAGGGTGCGCTGCATTTTGTGCAGCGCATGCGCCATGGCGTACACTGCGTTCACGACAAACATGATCTTGGATTCTTGCTCATAGTTGCTGCTGTCGATGGCCAGGTGCTTGTCGCAAAGTCGTCTGTGGTTTCTCTTGTTCTGGAGGCTGCATTGGAACTTCTGTTCCCAGAAGTCCCGGAACCAAGGGTTGCGGTGATTGTTGTAGGGGTTGAGGCTCTGAAAGTAGCGGTCAAACTGGCGGACGGGCTGGGAGGCCAGCTCCAGGGTGATGGCGCCGTAGGCCACGTGCTCGCTGCCCTTCACGATGCTCTCCTGCGCGCCCCAGCCGTCGCTGGCCACCCAGGTGAAGGAGGCGTTGGCGCGGCTGGCGGCGGCGATGAGCTCCCTGGAGTCGTCACTGCGCATGAAGAGAACCACCACCCGGGCGTTGGGCTTCTGCAGCAGCTCCCGGATCACGCTGTCGTAGGACTTGCGGATGTTGGAGCGACCCACCTTTTCGGCAGTGGCGATGCAGATATTTCGCAGGCGGGCTTCCTGCTCGAAGGCCTCGATCCCGGTCTCTCCGTAGTCACCCTCGGAGGCCACTGTGGACACGTAGGTCCAGTTGAAGAAGCGTAAGATCTCGGCCATGGCTTTGGCCTGGTAGAAGTCGGGGGGCACCGTTCTGGCAAAGTAATCGTACCGGGACTTGTCGCTGAGTTTGGCGCTGGTGGAGGCGTAGCTTATCTGGGGGATCTGGAAGAGTCTCAGCAGGTTGGCCACCTAGGAGAGGGACACAGGGGAAGCGTTTTCTTAAAAAGCCCAGAAGCACGCACAGCACAGCACTGGATGGTCATACCATCCTTTTTCATTTTTTATTTAACCAGATTACCACTCTGTGTGTGTGTGTGTGTGTGTGTGTGTGTGTGTGTGTGTGTGTGTGCATGCGAGTGCACGTGCACCAGTACTGGGGCTTGAACTCAGGGCCTACCAATCTTAAGCCAAAAGCCCAAAGTCCTACGACAGCGTGATCCGGGAGCTGCTGCAGAAGCCCAACGCCCGGGTGGTGGTTCTCTTCATGAGCCACATTTTCACCTCCAGCTTTTTGGTGGTTAATTGGACTTAAGAGTCCCATAGACTTTTCTACCTTGGCTGGCTTTGAACTGCGATCCTCGTATCTCAGCCATCAGTGCCTGGCAACCAAACTTTCTTGCAGTTCTGGAGATTTAAGGCCAGATGCTCTCCTGAATACCGTGTGTTTAGATATTAAAGAGCAGGTGTATGAGGTGTATATTTTGAGAAAGGACATAGTAAGAAATGAGAAGATCATTTGCTGGACCTTTTATAGACTCTATTGCTAGACCTTAGACCAGGAAAAATCTGTTTCAGATGAACTCAATGTGATTGTTTTAAGTTCCTGGGGTCCTGCTATAGCTCACAGAAACAATGAACTACAGTGAATTGGCCAAATTCGGTTTTCAGACAACTTGGCTGCAGTTGTATAGAAAGAGCCAGGGTGTTTAATTCTCACTTCCCCCTCTTTTACTAAAAACGGCAGTATCTGAAAGAATTTAATTTGGGAACAGGGTGCCACATGGACAGTCCAAATTAGACATGTATTATCTAGGTTAAGCAAAAGAAAAAAATCAATTTGACAGAAATTCCATTTGGTCCACTCAAAATTTTAGGTAAATATTTTTCCTAACTTCTGAAAAACTTGGCTAACTTTCTCATTACTTTGTTTTTCTTGAAATTTGATTCTGCTTAAATTATGTGAAAGGAAAGTACACAAATACTCCATTCTTGTTTCTTTTTACTTAAAAAAAAATCACATTAAAAATTATCAAGAATGAATTTTCTACTTCAATATATTTAAAGCCTATGCTGAATCGAAATGTAAATGTATCATAATTTAGCCATCATTAATATTTTAGTGTTATATTTATTATGAAACAAAAAGGAAATTGATGTTAGATAATCAGAGGGCATTGCAGAAAGTATTTACAGAACTAATAAAATTGTTTTATTTTCTTGAGTTCTGAAAATTGCTATCTCTCCATTAAACTTAGTTAAATTACATAATAGTTAAGGCATACTTTAATCAGAAACAACTTGAATCTTCTAATATAATCTATGTCCATGAAATCAGTATGACTACTTTGCAATTTTCCTTCTGGAAATTGGAGTTTCACATTTATATTTGACATGTAGGGAGCACAGCTTGAAATAGGCAGCTGTTTGCAAAGAGCAAAAGCAACATAAAACAACTGACATCTGAGTCCTGATTAATCATCATTTCATTTGGGATTGGAAACCAACAACCAAGTTCATACACAGCTACACAGCATGTGACTGTAGATCTGGGCTGCTATTAAAACTAACACTTGGAATAACTAAAAACGATCAACTTTTAAAATATCTTTTCTAATCCTAGTACCTATTACTTAACTACAAATATATCTTTAGACAATCTGAAATTTGAAACACAATATAATTAAAAATTAAAACCCCTATCCCTTCTTGTATGTGATATTTTAGGATATGAGGGGTTTGGGAGAATGGTGAGTATAGATGGATGAAGATCAGTACACTATGAATCTCTTCTTCTCTCAGAAATAGGAAACTGGGAAAATGATCCATACTGAGTTTGGGGTATAGGAATATTGTTTGTTTACTCAACATGATTGATAAGGCAGATGGCACTGAGCCCTCAAAGTTACTTTGAGAATGAATACTTGGCCTCCACTCTATTTATCTACTGCTATGCAGACTTGGTGATTGAATCCTTGTTATTTTTTTTTAAACTTGATTTGATTATGGAGTAGTACTGGAGTGACCACCTCTTCTTAATTTATGTCTCTCTCTCTCTCTTTCTCTCTCTCTCTCTCTCATCCATCTCTTTATCTTCAAGTTATATTCACCAGAACCTGAGCACCATATAAAACAGAGAGTGAAATGTCCTAAAACAACAACAAGAACAACAATCCAGAAACACTTTGTTGGCAGCTAGGAACCACAGTGAAAGAATCCTGAATTTCTGAAATATTGTTCTCCCAGAGGGTACAAGTAATGAAAAGGTGTTCAAGAAAAAAAATGTTCTTGTTTTTTGACTGATAGGATCCTGTGGCTTCATGTCTACCTCTCCAGGGTATCTGAGAACAACTTACTGTCAAGGTAGCCTGCACAAGGGATTGAACAATAGCAGTAATATGAAAAAGATTCTGCACTAGGAAGGCACACTTTGAGCAGTAGCCTGCTTGGGAATGTGGCTGACTTGGAAACAAAAAAGAAATTACTGCCATCATTTTAAGCATATATATTATTCCCATGCATTTGGGCTTAAAGAGAAAGATCTCTGCCAGCTCCAGGAAAAGGAGACATGTTTGCTGAGTTGAAACTTGAGGATGGAATTCTAGTAAATAAATGTAAACTTAAATGTATCACCTATACTGAATAACATCGAAAAATGCTACAATTCAAAGTTAGAATATTCAGATATGTTAGAAAAACACTTAATAGTAAAAGAGCAAAGTGTTAAGGTACTTTGATCTTAATGAGTTATTCCTTTTAAAATTAGTTTCCTTTGAGAAAAGGGCAAAATTAAAAAATTATAATGTCAGATAAATTTTCTAATAGTGTTTTAGCAGAAAAAACACTGGACACTTAAGTGAAAAGGGAAAAGATACTAAAGTGAGCATTGAGAAGGAAGGAGAATTATAATGGTAAAGGAAAATCTATGCCACGTTTCTTTTGTTGTTATTGTGTGTATGTGTCAGTACCGCAGATTTTACTCAAGGTCTGAGTACTCTCTCTTAGTTTTTTTCTCAAGACTAGTAAACTACTACTCAAGCTCCACTTCTGGCTTTTTGGTGGTTAATTGAAGATAAAAAAACCATAGATTTTCTTGCCCAGGATGGCTTTGAACTGGAATCCTCAGAACTTAGCCTCCTGTGTAGCTAGGATTATAGATGTGAACCACTAGTACCTAGGAATTTATACCACAATTTTAACCAAATCCACTTTTTCAGGATTGGCCATATATATATACATATATATATATATATATATATATAATCATGTTTATCTAAAGTGAACATATCACTATATATAGAATGATGCATATATACATATATGTGTATATATGTGTGTGTGAATATATATATATATATATATATACTGCTTCTGATTGTGTGTGCCACCTAGAATTCTTGTGTTAAAAACTTAACTACCAAATTCAAATGTTAATAGCATCCAGATACATTCCCTATCTCACAGAACCTTTAGTAGTTAAATTGAATTAGATAAGGTCATTAGGGTGAAGTCTCATGAAGACCAGTATTAGTACATTTAAGAAGACATTGACCAGCAAGCTAACAAGCTTGTTCTGTCTCACTAGGAGATGCTGTCTGGAAGGAGGTTCTTACTAGATGCTGGCACCATGCTCTTCAATTTTCCAGCCTTCAAAACCATAGCTATGGAACTCTGATTTTTTGATATTTTATTTTAAGGGTAAACATTCTTATTTTAAAAATAAATAGCACAGAAGGCAGTAGATTATTAATCTCTTCTCCTTTCCTTCCCATACCTATCCTAATCTGCTTTTTGGGGAAAAAAACATGACATTTATTGTTGGGGGTTGTACATTTAAAAAACTTTTCTGTTGTAAAATCAGTGACTATTGTATAATGTATGTGTGTGTATGTGCTTGTGTGTGTGTGTGTGTGTGTGTGTGTGTGTATATATACACATACCATCTTCTCTGATAGCTTTTTGTGGTACATATTATTGACTCCATATTAATATTCCAAATGTGACCTTTTCCAGATAAAGAAAGTTGATTATAATGTAGACGCCAATCAGAATGCAGAACTAGGTTTTTTGGCTTCCATTAACATGGCTATCACTTGTGACATTGTCTCTACTTTTTACTGTATGACCATGAAACTGAAGGGATATCCAGGTAGGAAAATAGAAGAGAAGAATAGGTACATGCCGTAGAATGCCTAGTTGCTGTTAGTAGAAACTTCCTTTGTCATTTGAAGTTTAAGAGTGGAGTTGGGATATGTCTTATATAGTCAGCTAAGTTTTCTGTCTCATTTGTCTGACAGTTGGGCATTCAGAACATTCCTAACTTCCTTACTGGCCATATGGTTTCTCTGAAAAAGCATTAAGAAATAAGGGAGACTCCTACATTGGACATTATTTTGAATGATAAATAAAGAATCATTTTAAGATTAAGATGTAGTGTGAAATTTTGGAAGAAGGCTCCCGATTATGTAATTATTTGTTGGAGAAAAGAAACAGAATCTTCCATGATTTAGAAGGAAGCATTGTTAAAGTAGAAATGTGCTTTCCACAGGTAAACATTCCAAAGTGAAGATCATTTAAGACAAAAACAAAATCTTCAAAAACAATTTGTACAACATAGCATAGTCTTAACAAGACAGGAAAGACAAGAATACACACACACACACACACACACACACACACACACACACACACACACACACACACACAATTCACTGGGCTGCTGGACTGTACTAGGTGATCGGAATGTAAGAAGTGTTCCCAACAAAGGATAGGTCAGTAAGTGTGTTGGGACATCTCTGTGTTTAGTACAAAGATCACTCTGAGAATGAGAGACACCAACACATAGAACAGGGAAATGTAGAAAAATGATTTTGTTCATTGTTTTGTTTTGAATTTCCATTTCAGGAAGATGTGCTGGCAAGATATGGAAACAATGGATGAAAATCTGATTCTCTTGCTCTCTTATTCTCTTC